ATCTTTCTGGTGGTCTCGCACACATGAGAATTAGTTTTGCCCAAAATCGCCCTTAGCACTTTGCATGACCAAGACTGCTAAAATAAATCTATTTTTAAACAAAAATCAAGATAAAATAGTTACTAGGGTAGCTCAGTGGTTGGGTACTGAGCTTCCAATGCTAATTTTCCCAGCTTCGATTCCCGGCTAATGGCAGAAAAATTATTTATTCTGTTTCATTGGCCGTGAGGTGAGCCTGGGTAGGAGCAAACCTAGCCTCTATAAAGTGGATAACCTTAATTAAAAAAATTAAGGGTGAAAACCTTGCGGTTGAGCATGATCTCGGTCAAATCACTTCCTTGCACAACTTTAGACCAAGAAACAGTGCTTATCCTAAATAGTACTGAACCCAAGACCCTTCATGGGTTGTAGTGGTACAGGTTTAATAGTTACTAATACTCTTGTATTTAACTCTTCTAATTTTCCATTCAGGCTTAGTTAGGTGTCTCCTATCTAAAAAATCACAGTAATACCTCTAAAGTAAGAAGCTTTCGTCGTTATCCAACGACATATGTCCTACAGTTTCCTTTAACAATACTCCACTTATCCCTGTTGAGCAAATCCGATACCTAGGACTCCACCTGGACAAACGACTAACTTGGAATCCTCATACTAGACTGAAACGACAAGAAACCGCTCGACGTTTCCGATTACTTCAGCAACTTACTAGACAAACGCTCTAAACTTCCCATTAATTACAAAAGACTCATATACTTGACTATAATAAGACCTATTTGGACTTACGGAGTTGAGCTATGGGGCTCCACTAAACCATCAAATTCCTCTCTTATCCAATCCTTACAATCCAAAATCCTTCGTAAAATCCTCAATGCTCCTTACTGTGTCACTAATAAAATTATCCATAAAGATCTTAATGTTCCTTATGTTTCAGATCTGGCCCAATCCAGATACCTATCCTTCCATAATAAACTTCAGAATCATCCCAAGCCTCTCGTTTCTAACCTTGCTTCCTCTTCAATCCTGATAACCCTCCAAGGCTGAAAAGAAGATGGCCCCGTGGTCTCCTAATGTAGTCATTAGAGTGCTACCATTGGGTAGTTACTCAGCAAGTATAATCATGTCATTATATCTATTATGTCCAAATTTACTAGATGTATTTATTTAATACAGTTGTAAATGTCATTAAGAAATTAAAAAAAAAAAAAGTAATAACCTAATAGGTAACTGCAAGACCAAGACTCGCCTTTGTTTCTCATTTGGGCAACACTATTTACCATGGCATTTTACACCATTCAATGAGATTTATTGAGAGTTTTTCAATATCTTAGGAACTTAGTTATACGCTGGTTTCCGACTGCTGCTCATTCATGTAGATGATTGTGGAGGTATTTGAATTTGTCTACTCTCTGAAAGGACTTTTTATATATATATATATATATATATATATATATATATATATATACATAATCTGTTATTGGTATTGAATTTTCGGTGTATATATAATATATAATGAATTTCAGAATCAATATATATATATATATATATATATATATATATATATACACTATGATATAGCGCTAGGAGAGGTATTATTGTGGACTCGCTATCGAGGGACTGACATGGCCCAAGTCCGGTGAAGTCGTGAACCGAAAGCGTGACGTAGCCCCCTCCCTAGCCGTTGGCCGCTTCATAAACCGATCCCAATAACTCTCGCCATCTTATTATCCGAGTTCTGTCCTCATTAGTGGGGTCTCTAACCTGCTCTCCACTCTCTATTTGCGCAGCTGAGATCCTCCCATCTGCTCTCTGCCCTCTGTCCAATCGATGTCGGAGTCAAATCGATATCCGTCGGTCTGGTATTGGTGTTGTAGGCACATCTGTTCTCTATTTGAAGTTGTATTAGATCTGTTTTTATTTCATACTAGTAAGCCCGTGCCAAAAATTCGCACAGCATATTGTTGTCAAATGCCAAATTAATAATAAAAACAAACAGTGCAACATGTATCTGTATCAAAAGATAAAGAGATCAATTGTTGCTTTATTGATAAATATAATCGACAAAGGAAACAAAAATTAATTTAAATCTTCATTGTGGATTGGAACCATGTTGTTGGAACCAAAATGTTTACAAATTTCAATAAGCTGTATCTTTGCTAAAAAATTTTCGATTTCAATGATTTATTTTTTATTTTTCCTTTTGTAGAGAATTTAGTAATATTTTATGTAATCATGGGCATAACCGCAGGGAAAAGTGTGTAGTTATTCGCAAATAAAGTTTATTTTCTTTCATAACTTGTTTGCCTGAATTTTCGGGGATATTGGACTATTTTGCCCGCCTGAAGGAGAAGGAAGCCTTCGAAATTGGTGGCTCAATCTTGAGATTTGGTGAAAAATTAACGATGATATGGCTTGCCGATCAAAAACACCATCGATAAGTAATATAAACTCCCCCTCTCTCGATCATAGAGACCTCAAGTCGACGAAATGAGACATGTATTCAATGACAGTACTACAATTAACGTCAGGTTGTGTGGATGAGAAACCCATGCCTTGCGTTATCTCGAAAATAGTACGTTTTTGGGCTTAAAAACGAAGGATCAGATAGTTCCGGTGGAACTATCCGGGTCTTGATGTACGCATCAAAATCTTCAAGGTCCAATTTTTTCCATATCGATCTACAGACCTACCACCGTTCCTGTATTGAAGCCTACCAAAATGTTTATATCGACTTTATTTATTTTAGAAAAAAAAATAAAAGTGAAGAATACGATTCGCCCACCGTGAAATTCTGAATCCAACGGTGCCCCATTCATAGTATTTGAGCAATGAGAGGAGCTTATATTTGATACAAAACCGATTTCGAGCCTTACTGTGATAATATATGTGTAGATTAATGGCTAGTGTGTATTTGTTTGTTGAATACCCTACAACCTTCAAAACGTCACCTATTGTGGTAAATTATTACATAAATGAAATATTTATATTCTTAATCGGTTTTATGTGTTTCTCGCCACGTGGGCTTCGTGAGAATCCGTTATCCGCATACGGAAGAACTGTCGATTAATATCACTATTGATAATAAAGACTATTCAATTTAAACTTGAATACACTGATAATAGCGATGAAAGAACCAATTCATAGAATCCAATATTTACTGAAATTACAAATGTGACAAAAAGAAAGAAAAATACCTAAAAAGTAAAATAAATATGTTAGACATAAGCGTACTTATAATTAGAAGATTTCAGAACCAAAATAGGTCTTGGTCTTGCACTTTGCAAGACCAAGACCAACACTTCCTATATGTTGCAAGACCTAGACGAAGACTGATAAAAAAAATCTATTTTTGACAATTTTAGTTACTATATTTAAGGAATTGGTGTAACCAATATACTTTTGCATTTAACTCTTATAATTTTTCATTCAGACTTAGTCAGGTTTCTCCCATTGAAAAAATACAGTAATATCTCTATAGTAATACCTTTATAATAAGTAACTGCAAGACTGAGTTTGCAAGACCAAGATGCTAGAGACATAAATTGACATGACTTGAACGGATAGTCTATCCATTGTCAGAATTCCAATTCCATTGCTCTTTCACTACTTTTTTTTATCTTTAAACTGTATTTCTCTTTTGACACTCTCTTTTGTATTTCTCTTTGTTAGAAATACTGACAAGTGAGTGCAGTCGGGAAGTAAAATAAGGAATACGGCATTGATTAAAATATATCAGAAACTAAAAAATCAAATTCGCATACAGTAAGCTAAGGGGTTGTTCAGCATTTCATCCTCTTTATAATGAGCTATTATTTATAATTTATATTCATATTATTAATCTCGGTTTGTTGATGTTTTTAATTCTATCGTGTGGCCTAAAGCACACACCTTTTTTTCTGTCGCTGAACTTCTAAAAACCATTATTCAAATGAGCATGCATTTCTCTATCAGGTGATAAAATAATATTACTGAGTTTTGATGAAGTTTGAAGAGTTTTATTACAATTTAAATCTACAGAAAATAAATTTATTTGTGTACTTGTTTTTATTTGTATTCAACTGAAAACTTCTTTGCACTTTTTTTGTGGAGAGTGAAATAAATTGAGCAGTCATATTTCCGATGTGTAACGCTCGGGTAAAGTCGACTAATTGACGTGTTTTTGTATATGGATTAAAATATCTCAAAAACAAAAATCTGACCTGCATATTGTAAGCTAGTGAAATGTTCATCATTTCATCATAAGCTATTATTCAATATTGTATCCGATGATACAATAAATAATAACGAATTTTACTGAAGATATGCCGCATACAGTAAGCGAGGAAAATGTTAAGTATTTCATTTTCTTTATAATGAGCTATTATTTATAATTTATATTTCATATTATTAATCTCGGTTTGTTGATGTTTTTACTTTTATCGTGAGGTCCAAAGCAGAAACCTTAGTTTTTTTTTTTTTTTTTTTTTTTTTTATTATTATTATATATATTTGATTCAATTTGATTCCAAATTTAAATTGGACGGAAATTTGCTGAAGACTGCCCCCAAACAACGAAATATCCGGAAACGATTTCTAGGTTGCTTTCGATGCGATTATTGTTTAATATTTTTAACAGAAAAGATGCATTTCTTGGTTCAAATATCTTACTTAAGCCACAAAGAGTGTTATGGGTTAGGGTTGATAGCTTATAGGTGTGCAAACTGATAAATTATTTATTGCACTCCTTAGTTGTCTTCTTATTCATTGTTTTGCCTTCTTATTTTTCTTCCTCTTAGCTGGGAAAACTTTTGTACTTTGCCTGATGTGCCTTTATTCTTTTTGGCGATTCTTTGACTGTTCCGTTTGTTATTTGTATTTGAGAGACTTGAGACTTTCAAAATCTTCCAATCACAGTTATAAAGATTTTTTTTTTTTATATATATATATTTCTTTATATTATTATATATGTTTCTATATTATTAATGTTATATCCTTGTTGTTGCAGGGTGGGCTCGTATGGGGTGATGAGCAGCGGGGGCGGGGCGGGGGGCGGGGAGGGGGGCTACGGGGGGGCCGCCCTCTCGGCTGCCGCCATGGTCGCCGCCGCCACCGCCACCGCAACCGCCACTGCCAGCGTCGTCGCCCTCCAGGACCGCCACGACATGAGCAGTCAGTACGGCCAGGTCAGTACGGCAGTAACAATAATATAATACTATACATGAGCAGTCAGTACGGCAGTAACAATAATATAATACTATACATGAGCAGTCAGTACGGCAGTAACAATAATATAATACTATACATGAGCAGTCAGTACGGCAGTAACAATAATATAATACTATACATGAGCAGTCAGTACGGCAGTAACAATAATATAATACTATACATGAGCAGTCAGTACGGCAGTAACAATAATATAATACTATACATGAGCAGTCAGTACGGCAGTAACAATAATATAATACTATACATGAGCAGTCAGTACGGCAGTAACAATAATATAATACTATACATGAGCAGTCAGTACGGCAGTAACAATAATATAATACTATACATGAGCAGTCAGTACGGCAGTAACAATAATATAATACTATACATGAGCAGTCAGTACGGCAGTAACAATAATATAATACTATACATGAGCAGTCAGTACGGCAGTAACAATAATATAATACTATACATGAGCAGTCAGTACGGCAGTAACAATAATATAATACTATACATGAGCAGTCAGTACGGCAGTAACAATAATATAATACTATACATGAGCAGTCAGTACGGCAGTAACAATAATATAATACTATACATGAGCAGTCAGTACGGCCAGGTCAGTACGGCAGTAACAATAACAATAATATAATACTATACATGAGCAGTCAGTACGGCCAGGTCAGTACGGCAGTAACAATAACACTAACAATAGTATAATACAATGCATGAGCAGTCAGTACGGCAGTAACAATAATATAATACTATACATGAGCAGTCAGTACGGCAGTAACAATAATATAATACTATACATGAGCAGTCAGTACGGCCAGGTCAGTACGGCAGTAACAATAACACTAACAATAGTATAATACAATGCATGAGCAGTCAGTACGGCAGTAACAATAATATAATACTATACATGAGCAGTCAGTACGGCAGTAACAATAATATAATACTATACATGAGCAGTCAGTACGGCCAGGTCAGTACGGCAGTAACAATAATATAATACTATACATGAGCAGTCAGTACGGCAGTAACAATAATATAATACAATGCATGAGCAGTCAGTACGGCAGTAACAATAATATAATACTATACATGAGCAGTCAGTACGGCAGTAACAATAATATAATACTATACATGAGCAGTCAGTACGGCCAGGTCAGTACGGCAGTAACAATAATATAATACTATACATGAGCAGTCAGTACGGCAGTAACAATAATATAATACAATGCATGAGCAGTCAGTACGACAGCGACAACAACAACAATAAAAATAATATAATATAGTACAATATCATCAAGAGGGATCAACAATATACATGGAGTCAATGTCATCAATCTGTAAAAAAATATCCTTAATCCTCTTCTATCTATAATGAGCCCTAAACGGTCAGTCGGAATGACATGCAGAGTGATGATTGACATTTTGATTGATCGTGTACGGATAAGATTGAGGGATTAATTAACTGCACTGACATATACCTTGAAATCCAAGCTTCAATCAAAAAGGTGAGGTGTGCCTAACTCAGGTCTACCTAATAGATCAGTTTACCTAAGCCTTACAAACTATGGATTTTCCTAATTTTCGAGTCATAATTTAATAATTGACCGTTGCATTATAAAGGAAGGAGATGGCATGGGGTGGCGGTCATAAATAGACTAAATAGTGATAAAACTATTTTATTAAAATGAAGAGAAGAATAGTTGGGGTGGTCAGTCAAAAAGGAAGGCAAAAATAAATGATAATATCTTATTTTTACATATGCCGACGTTTCGACCTGAAGTTCAGGCCTCCATCAGGGCTAAGAAAATAACCAGATAACAAGGTATGAGAAACATAAGTAGAGATGGTAAAAAAAAAAATAATAATAATAAAAATTAAAATTAAAAAAATGAAATAAATAAATATAAAGTAAAATGAAATTGTTAGAATAATGACTAAGAACTAAGAGATAAATAATAATAACCGTTACAAAGTGTGGAATGATGAAGTAGACATAATCAAAAAGGGTGACATAAGTGTTACAATGGGAATCTTAGAATAAAATGTAAAACATAAAAAAGAAATACGAAGTTATATAAGAAATGAAAATAAATAGTAAAATTAAAACATTGAGAATGGAGTAGTTAGATAGAAAATTGAATACATACATATTTTATTAAAAGCCAACGTTTCTACGCGTCTTTGCAGGTCTTCTTCAGGGAGGTGTGTTCTGCTAGAAATTTCTCTTAGAACTTAGTCAGTTTCACTTAGAACTGAGACAATTCTAATTGAAACTCCTAGCTGAACACACCTGCCTGAAGAAGACCTGTAAAGTCGGGTAGAATCGTTGGCTTTTAATAAAATAGTTTTATCACTATGGACCGCCACCCCGGGCCATCTCCTTCCTTCCTAATTTACATTTAAATAAACAATTGTTTATACTTAATTTTGTTTAAAATATTTTTTGACATCGGGATTGTCTAATGTACCACAAAATCAGACTTGACAACATATAATCCGACAACGTTTCGCCAATTCAGGCATCATCGGTACAGAAAAGAAAAGCAACCCGAGATCGCATCACTCAATGACATCCACAATAGCTGTATGCGATTGTCATATATGTTATTCTTTGGAATTTTCCAGTTACAAACTTACAAGAATTATTATAGTTTTATTTTTCTTATGATGTCCAATGCTCGGATAATGACGAAACTACATATTTTTTTTTAATCAAACACATTATTAATGAACCATTAAGCCAACAGAGGTAAAGTGACGCAAGTCTGACTGAAATATATGAGAATCATCCTGATTGAAGACATACTATCCATCATTCCAAAGTGAAGGAATTGCTTAAGTTATGAAACAGTGTTTTTCTCCCAAATCTCTGTCATAGGCTGTGTTTATTAGTGATTACTTTAGTTGTTTTCATTAAAACGTAAATATTAGGGCTAGAAACATTTTTTTTTTCATTAGAAACAAGTTTGTCACTTGTAATAATGAATCAATTTTTAGGACAGAAATCAGGAAGATAAAAACAATTCCATAACTACTATACATTAAAAATCATTATTTTTATAAATAAGATGTGTTTATACGAAATTACGTTTATTACAATACATCCCGTTTCACCGAAAAAATAAGAAATAAAAGCTTTGTAACAGTTAATTTTTGCTTAAAACACAGATACTCTTAGGTGACTGGATAGAACATCATTTCTTTACATAAAGAGACGATTCTCAGAATTTTTCAAAATAATCCTCGAATTAATCAATACGGGCTTATTGCTTCTTAAATGAGGAAATTTTTCTTAAAGTGTGATAACTGTAGTACAATTGAAGAATGACAAAAAAAAAAAAAAATGTATGACATATTATTAAATTATAACTTAGTTGAATTTGTCCGCTAATATTCGTCTTTAAATTGTTTTAACAATGGCAACCTCTACTTTCTTTTAAAGTAAATTTTGTCTAGTTTACAATGGAGCAATGTTTAATTTCTTAAATAAAATATGTTTTTATTTATCGTTTCCTATTCAACAAAAAACGTGACTCCAATAAAAAAACACAAATCTTAAATTTTCTACTTTTCTGCTTGAAATTAGACAATTGTTTATTTGCCACAAAATGATAAAATATAACCATTGTTTTATGGTAAAAAATATTTTTAAAAAACTATCTCTTAAAGTATTTTTGTTCGTATAATTAAATTTGATTTACATTTACATATGATACATGAATCACTTAAACACTATTTCATATAGGTAGTTTCTTTCTTTTTATTCTTAATGTAATTATAATTATTTATATGAATAAAAAATTTCAGGCAGAACCCCACCCAAAATTAAATTCTAGATTCGCTAGTGCCATCGTGATATCGACAGCTGTTTATGTTTATGACTAATAATGCAAATAATAACAAATATAAAAGTTAATTCAAAAAATCAGAGAATGTAAAAATGTCGAATTTATTTCGCGAATCCTAATATAATAATCTATGAAACAAGATATGTGTAATAAGGAAATATCGAATGAGAACATTTAGAGGTTTTAGATATAGAGATAATCCGTTTCAATATCACCATAGTAAATCTTTTTTTTTTTATGAATATGAATTTAAAATCCAACTTAATCCATGTGAACCTGCTAACAGATATGACATAATATTTTCGCATGTTGATTGAGGGATATCCTTTTTGGCATTGATTGATATCCAGGATCAGGAAAAGTATAACACTTTTCCTCTTTGCCTAAAAGATTTACATAATCAGATATTTAGACATCTTTCGTCAAGCTTGTTTTCGAATTAACACATGTATTCGATTACAGCAAATCCTACTAATCCCAAAGTTTTATTTATGACGAGTGTTTTGCGTGATTATATTTATTAACGTCAAAATAATTTTCTTGAAGTGAAAAATTCTTTAAGCACGTTTTACCCTTTTTGTGAAGAGTGAATTAGATTGAGCCGTCAGATTTACGAAGTGTTAACGCTCGGGTTAAGTCGGCTAGAGTCGACTAATTGAAATGTTTTACATATGGATTAAAATATCTCAGAAACTAAAAATCGGATCTGCACATTGTAATCAAGGAAATTATTCAGTATTTCATCCTCTCTGTAATAAGTTATAATTCATAATTGTATCTTAAAGCGACGCTGTGCTAGAGAGGCGAAAAATAAAAAATATTTTCAAATGATAAAGAGTTTAATTGAACATATGGATTAAAATATTTCAGATACTAAAAATCCTCTATAATATAAGTAAGGCAAATGTTCAGCATTTCATATTCTTTGTAATGAGCTATTATTCAAAATTTTATCTTAACCCAACACCGTCATCATCCACTCTCTGTTAGAGGGTAGGAGAGTGGAAAAAGATGGTGTCCAAACTAGTTTTATTGAATTGATCAAAATATCTCAGAAACTAAAAATCGGAACTGTATAAATAAAGCGAGGGAAATGTTCAGTATTTCATTCC